TCTCTTTCTGAAACTAGAAAGTTTTCGAAACTAGCATCAAGTTTTATCCTGTTATTCACATATGCACAAGTTTTTGTAAAAGAAGTCAAACTAACCATAATGTTCGTGATCGCCAAGGCACGGAGTAGCAAGAGTCGCTAGTTCGATGTCCTGGGAATTCGGGTTATCGAGTCTTTTCACCTCAATGACAGAAGGCTGTAAGCTGAGATGGGTCCGTCAGCTCACACCATGGCATTGCCAGGGCTGCTTTAAAGCTTATCTAATTTGTTTAAATATAGTAATCCTACGCGCCCGCACCCTGTTCGGCGTTTCTGCGATTCCAGGCTCTCGCGGCTTGCATGTACATTCAGGAGAGCACGGAAAGACCATTTATGAACGTTGCTTCAAAGGCGTGCATTGGACTTATGGGTGATAGGGGTATAAGCTACCATCCTTCTCTTGTAAGTAAGAAGTTTTGAATCAAGTTTGTTGGAATCATAAGTCATGAGCATGTATTTATGGCGAATCGGTACTTAGATCGTTGATGCAGAACCCCCGCCTTGCCCGCTTTCTTACAGGAGAAATAAAATTCTCACTCATATTACACCTTTGGTTGGTTGATTGAGCCGGGGTCTTGAGTGATCGACCGTGATAACAGGGTGCCATCTGACCACCAATACCACATGTAAGCGAACTCTTGCAGCCAACACAGAAATAGACAAAAGCCTGATCGCTTTGGATGGTACTTCGGCAAGAGTATCTAAAGCCCTGAGCCTTCTGCCGAGAACGCATCTGATTCTCCTTTTCATCAGTTTCCAACCCATTGAATCACAATGGCAGATATCTCGATTTGGGTCCCGGAGGTTGAGGGGGATTTTCCTGTTCATAAAGCCGTGCTCGAGGGTGAGTTTGCGCCTGGAAAAGTATTAACTATACAAGACATCTGCTGAGATTTGACCCCCAATCATAGTTTTACCCAAAGGCACCAGGGTCGTCTCAGCCGAATCTAGTGGGATCTCTGCCTGGACTAAGACAGGAAAACTAACCGCCGTCCTACCCGACGGCGATGAAAAAGGATACTTCATCAAAGTATGATACCTTCATCTCTTTATGGTAGATATTGGAATTCTGCTTTTTGACCAGACTGGTGACATAGTGCGTGACGGGGCGAAGCGCTCAAGCCCTTGTTGAGGGAGAGTATCATTCTGCATTAGCGATTGACGAACTCGTGCCACACTTCACACCAAAACCCACTGGATGGGGAAAATATGAGAATGGCGAAGTAGAAGTGTTCTTCTTACTGACAGCCTTTCACGACATGGACTTCACCATAGCCCCTGACCCAGAAGAGTTCGTCTCCAAGATTGCAAGTCTCCACCGCAAAGGGGTGTCGCCGACAGGAAAGTTTGGGTTCCCTGTCCCCACGGTTTGCGGTATCATGGAGCGGACAGTGGAATGGGAAGATAGTTGGGCAACATCATTCACTCATCAACTCAAGGATGTCATAAAATACGACAATGAAACGAACGGTCCCTGGCCAGCATTCGACGACGCATGCAATCAACTTATCGATGTAGTCATTCCTCGACTTCTAGGGGCTCTACAGTCCGACGGAAGAAACATCATCCCTACGTTGATCCACGGGGATCTATGGGAACGAAATGTGGGCATTGATATGGAAACAGGGGATATAATCACCTTCGATGCTGGATCTACATATGCCCATAATGAGATGGAATTCGGTACATGGAGGTGCTCCTGGGCGTTCTACTTCAACTCGCCAATATACATGCGGCTTTATCAGCGCTATATCGAACCCTCAGAGCCTGCAGAGGAGTTCGACGACCGCAATCGACTGTACAGCCTCCATCCGTATTTGAACGACTCTGCAGGGCACCCCGGAAGTGCCTCAAGGCTGATGTGAGTCTATCTCTACAACTTATGTGCCCCAAACTAAGAAGCCTTCATAGTGCTTATAACGACATGCTTTACCTCTGCGAGAAATATGCCCCCCTGGAGACTCTGGAGAGATACAATCCTGATCATGACATTACTGTAACGGGCAACTATGTTCCTTTTGTGATGAAGCAACTAGAGTGATCTAGGAAAACATGAGCAAGCTTGGCTTGGACTATGTCTACTGTTGGACATGTTATAAGTTGTGTTTCATGGGCCTGGGAACATCTCAGTAGGCGTTGTTGTTGTCTACACTTTCTGTCTCTTTTTCTCCTTCGTTATATATAGAGCATTGCTGAATATGCAGTGTTCCTGGTGTTACTAGTTACAAGGCAAAGAAGAGGGCGAGGGAAAGAAATATACAATCTAATTATGTCTATCGTGTACAAGGAAAAGCATCTATTCTATATATACGGGAAAGCCAAACCTATCCGCCGAGTCGCTTTCTTTATAAAAGGATCGGGTTTTACGCCCCCTGAGAGCTATTACCACCGTACAAGGTATAAGTGTAAACTACAACTTCGCTTTCTCCTTTTCCCCCTTCTGCTTTAATCGTACAACGCCCTACATAAGAAGAAAAAAGCAGAGTTAGCATGGTGTAAGTTGGCCAAATATTCCAGGTTGAGGAAAAAGGGGGGCAAAGGAAATGCAATAAAATGGAACGAAACGGCGAACGGCCCGGGGGGAGGGGGCAACTCACCTCCTGGAAGCACGTAGCCAGCAAGGTGCCGTCCTTGGCGAAGATGCGCTGGGTGACGACGCCGCGGCCGTCGCCGGCCCAGGGGCTCTCCATCTCGGCGAGCATCCACTCGTCGGCGCGGACGCGCTTGGGGTTGTGGAAGTAGATGGTGTGGTCGAGGCTGACCATCATGCCGATCTCGGGCCGGCCCCGGAAGCGCTCGAGGGGCCGCCTGCCGCCGTGGCCCTCGAACCGGTGCAGGCGCTCGAGCCGCGCGCGCTGCGCCGGGCTCAGCTTGGTTTCCACGTCGTCCGCCGCCACGGGGAACCGCCACAGCCGGTGGATCCGCCCCACCGTGCCGATGAAGTAGCTGTCGCTCATGTACGCCAGCGCGCTCAGGTGCGCCTGGTGCCCGCCCCCGGCGCTGATGCGGCCCCGCGCCCGGAACCAGTGGCGCGTCTTCTTCGCGTGCGGCGGCAGCTTGCTCATCGCGTCTTCTTTCTCGTCGTCGTCTTCGTCTCCTGCTACATCACGCGAACCTTCTCCCCCTCCGATGCGGATGCGGTAGCTCTCGAACGGCGAGGGCGCCTTCTTTTCGTCGTTGGCCTCGCTGTTGCTGCTCTCGTCGCCGAACCAGCCGGCCGGGTGCTCGGGGTCCTTGGTGGCGTCGTAGTCGTCGGGGGGCGGGGGCTCCGCGGCGGCGGGCATGGGCGCGGCGTGGGTGGCGGCGACGGCGCCGCCGCTGCCCTCGCGCACGAACGAGCACGTCACGGTGAAGATGGCGTGGCCCCGCTGGCGCGCCTGCACGGTGCGCGTCGCGAACGACCGGCCCGACCGCACCCGCTCGACGTGGTACAGGATCGGCGTGCCGCTGTCGCCGGCCAGCACAAAGAAGCAGTGGAACGAGTGCACGACGAAGTTGTGCGGGACGGTGCGCTGCGCCGCCTGTGAGGGGGGGTTTCTGGAGCGTCAGTTCTCTGTATTGTATCCATCACTTTCTCTGTCTATCTTTGGCAGGAGAAAGTCAAGGGTGAGTGAGACAGGGAAGGCTCAATAGGCGGGTGGGTGTATCATCATCGACAACGTCTACAAGATGTCAAGATTCGCACTCCTTATTTCCCTCTCCAACACCCCGCCCCCTTTTTGTCTTCTTATCATGAACGAGGAGGTAGGTACATGAGCAAGGAAGCAAGAAAGCTACTCACAGCTAGCGTTTGCGCTATCACGGCTCCTCCATAGATACCTCTTGCGCCCGGCGGATGCCACAGCTCTCGTGTATTCGTGTAAATGTCCTAGCATGATGTTAGTCATCGTCCATGCATGTATGCATTCATGTATTATATTATTATACGTATAAACATGTATAAAATAGCAGAGACGATCTGGTTGTAAGTAGGCAAGTGGATCCACCTGAACAACATGAATAGCTAAATGAAAAACATCTTTGACCAGGGGCAGGGGCAATGAAAACACCTTCGCGACTTACAGGTCCGATGATACTCAGATCCGTCAGTTCCAGTGCATTCTCGATAGGCGCCTTGCTCGTGTCTTGTGGTGGCGGCTTCACCAGGGTTGGGCGGTGCTCCCCCATCTGTGATGTCGTCTTGGCTCTTGTGGCCGGTGAGATTATGTGCCTCCGTAGGCGGGTTGGTTTCCAAGTGAACGTGAGTTGGGCAAAAACGGTGCTCGTGACAATGGCGATTAGAGAGTCTACGTAGGTAATATGTAGTTTCGTTCAGTCACATCTATAAATAGGGGAAGTGGATTATATAGCCACCGAAGTGAATGATAATAAGTATGAGATGAATTGGGTAGCTAATGGAGAATAAGTCGTCGAATAAGTCGTCGAATATATGGCCTGAAGGGGTTAAATTCAGAAGCTCCAGGTATCAAGTCCCGCCCACTTGCTTCCTTGTAATTAGCCTAACTTAACTACCATAGATGATAGGGCGAACGCATGAATGCAACCAATCGCGAATGGCGTTCGAAGATAGATGAGCATGTCAACTGCTTTGCTTTGCTTTGCTTTGATTTGCTAACCATGTCCATCAAGTAGTCTAAACCGAGGGCGGAACTACCGAGGTTCGGGTTTTACATCATGAATCCATATGTACATACGAAGTACATACACACACACACATGTAGCCTAGGCACGCTGTGGATCTGGCTTGATGCGATCCGGCATAGCTGTACGATACCTACACCGACGAAGGTAAAACGCGGTAGGTATTCATCAAACACGTTACATGGAAGGAGGTACGAATAAATAACTTGTAACTGGGCTTTTGAAGAGCTCCTTTTGAACGTGAATATGGCCAATGCATTCCGCAAGGTGTCGGGGGAGGGGGAAATAATAAATTAAAAAATAAGACGTGAGACAAAAGAATGCATCAGCCGCGAATCGAACGCGGGGCCCATCGAATCATCTGCCAGAGGAAGTTCTGGTGGAATGGCAACGATGGATTTTACCACTAAACCACTGATGCTTGATGAAATTTGTTATCTTATCAGTTTCTATAATAGACCCACCCGCTCATACACTTACAGCTCCCCCCCTTTTCGAATTGGGAAGCGTCACTCCGGTTCGATAAGCCGGCCAGCCAGTCGAAATAATCAAGCAGAAGCGCATAACAAAATGTCTTCCTACCTGACCAGCCAAGCCAGCCGGAGTACGAAGTACCTAATAATAAGCTCGTCAATGACCGTGGTTCGATGGCATGTCAAGTCCGTGCTCCGTGCATGAACATGGCGCTCATGGATAGAAGAACAAGCGCATTCATATCCATAATACCTAATCCACGGCCGTCGTTATATTGGCTTACTCGCATAGGTTTTGAGTGATCGATGTGGTAACTGAAATGCGCACGTGGGTAGTTGAACCGGCCATGCAGTTACATAGGTACCTAGATAATGGATCCTTGGATGTGTATGGCACAAAGCTAGGAGAGACCTCAGAACAACGTCGCGCGCGCTCAACGTGGGCACGACACGGACAGGCAGACACAGTGATATGCACTTGATTTATTTCTTGATTTATTCATACAGAATGATCCAACACGCGCCAGCTCTTGCACGGCACGGCACGGCGCATCTCGTCGTCCCTCGAGGGATGCGAGGTAGGCGGGCAGACATGTATATATAGGGAGGAAGTAGGTAGGTAGACGGGAGGGACTGACTGGGCGGCCACCCATGCTTCCCGACACACTACCGCATATGCGGATACATACAGTACGAGATTATTCTTACAACAATAGCCTAACCCAGTTGTCGAAATCAGATCTTGCTTGCTTCTTACGCACCCGCACCCTCATCCGTGAACAGCGGCTCGAGACCCTCCCAAGCGCTCGCGTCGCCGCTGCCGTAGCGATCGCGGTGCTGCCAATATTTCTCCGTGAACTTCCAGTACTCCTCGCCGGTGACCTCGCAGCGGGCGCGCTCGAACCAGGCGGGTTGGAACTCGTCGCCGCGGAGCTCGCGGCGCTTCCGGCGCTCGCGCTGGGCCTCCTCGAGCCGGTTCTTCTCCTCGGCGGCGACGTCGTATTCGCCCTCCTCCATGGCGCGCTGGTCCGGGCGGTAGCGCGAGTCCGTGGGGGCGATCCACCGCTGCAGGTTCTCGTCCAGGTGGTTGAACGACAGCACGAACGGGGTCAGGTTGAACGGTATTCCCTCTGGCCGCTCGTTCGCCTGCCACACCACGAACGCCCGGCTTGGGTCGTGGATGCTGAAGCCCCGCTGGTTGTCCTGCGGCTCCTCCACCGCCGTCTCGAACCCGGGCGTCAGTCGCGCGTACAGCTTCGAGTTCCAGCGTCCGCCGATGCTGATGCGCGGCCGGCCGTCCGAGTCGAGGATCTTGCCAGAGATGTGGTAAGCGCTCGAGGCTTTCCAGCCTCGCTGCTTGAAATCGAGCAGACACTTCTCCCCGGTCGTCCAGTTCGTGATCTCCACAAGCCCGTAGTTATCTACTACGGGATTTCCCGTGATGATGCCGACGACCTGAGATGTTGGCTTCTTCCAGGTATAGAAATCCTCCTTCCCGCCGGCGGTGGGTCGAATCTTCAGGAACCAGGTTCCAACGTGATGAATATCAAAGGATTTTCCAAGGAACTTAGATTTGACATTGGCTTCTCCCCAATATGTCCACTTCGCAGACTCCGCGTGTGCCGCACCGATCGGTGGATGATGGCTAACCTGCTCGATGAAAAAACGGTAGCCTTTATCCGGCCTTGCGTACTCGAAAGTTTCGCCAAGAAGCGGGTTGAACGGTTTGGCGACACGACCGATAGTGGAGGCGAACTCGCTTGCCGCAAATGCGGCAACGTACAACAGGCGCTCAATGGAGTCGGATCGATCTGCTGCTTGGTCTAGTAGTTCGGCGTATTCCATATCTTCACCCGTTCGATATAACAATGAGGTGGGTTCGTTGAAGGAAACGGGAAGCGTCATCTTTGTCATATCTTTGCCAATCATAGACTTGAGAATACCCTGGAGAAAAGGTCAGAAATAGTCAGGGGGAAATTGCAGGCATCAAAGTCTTACCCAAAGCCCGATCTTCGGCCTATTATCAGCGTCTAACTTGAGCTTGGTCCTTACACCATTCTCATAACCCTTAAAAGCGCTACTAACGTCCATTTGCGTGGTGATGAGTTGTTTGGTGTCGGAGGGTGAAACGGCATCAGCAGGTGGCATTGGCTCGACCTCAACTTCACCGGCATCTACGGCATCAAAGAACTCGTCTTCTTCTTCCTCGGAGTCGGAAGTCTCGGAGATGTCAACCACTTGAGAGAGTGCAGTATGTCGGCGGCCTAAGCTACCGGGCGACTTCGGCGTATCGGCGCCGATATCCTCGTCCGCCACCCCCGGGGTCCCGGGTACAGCTTGACTGCTGTGTATACTTCCCGGGCGACTACCGACTGCCCCTTCCATAACATCGCGAAGGGCACGTTTGGTTTTCTTGTGCTTCAGCTCTGCTTTGTCGACCCTTGCCTCGAGTATCTCTTGCTCGTGTGCGACCTTAGCCATGCTCTCTTCCCACATTTGTCTCATTTCAACCTCCTGGTCCAAACGGTATTGCCAATGCGCATCGCGATCTCTTGATATCCTAAGGAGATCACCCATAAGACCCTTAAGACTCTTAATGGCCGCATCGTACGTCGAAAGCGCTTGCGATAGCTTCGGGTCTCCTAGTGGCATCGAGGGATTCCGTTGAACTTCGCCCTGAAGGGCATTGCTTACTTGTGCCAACGTATCGAGCTGGAGTTTTGCAGATTGTGCCGTGATGTTGAAGGCATCCTTAGTTGCCGTTGGCGTCTCACCTTGGCTAATAGAGCGCGCTCCGTACTCTTCATCCTCATCCTCCAGGTCACCCGGGATAGTGGGCGGCCCGTTGCTTTGTAACTTGGCCGTGTCATCTGTGGCTCCTGGCTCGAAAAACTCATCGTCCACACTTTCGGCAACACTATTGCGGGATCGTGGATGGCGCGGGACGGATCCTTTGGTAGAGGGCAGACGGGTCAACTGCACACTACTGCGAGCCTCGCCGACGCTGGCGGCTTCACTGTGCATATCATGAACTGAGAGCTCCCCTGATTTTGTGAGCTGATCCTTAGCCTGGCGCAGCGCTTCGGCGCTTTGGGCTTTTTGCAGCTCCTCCTGTTTCGCCTGGTCCTTCATCCACTGAATCGCGTTATTCAGCGCCCAGAACCATCGCTTGGCTTCAGCTTCATGATTTGCTCTTAAGGTGTATTTGACAGAGGATTTGCCAATAATTTCGAATTTGGTCTTATCGTCAGGGCTCATATATAGTTTTGCGATGCGCATGCTGATGGCGCCACGACATGCGTTCTCCGCATCATCTTGGTGCTTGTAGTAACTTAGAACGCCGTTTTCAAGCACGAACCATCGTAGCTGGTACCCCTTGCGGTAGTTGGTCCATTTCTTAAGGTAGCCCTTCATGGTAGGCTCGCGAGCCGTCACCGGATCCACTATGACGGCCCCGGAACCAGCCTGTGAAGTCGCATGACCAAGTACGGCTTTCTCCTGAATGCTGCGCTGTGCTGCCACGGCAGCCGGCGACTTCTTGAGCATAGCTCGGGTGACATCATCATTGGTGACGTGTTGGGGTAGCTTTCCTCTGCGATCTCGCTGGAATGGATCAGCCCCATGCAGTAGAAGGGCTTGGATGAGTTTCGAATCCCTCTTGCGAGCAGCTTCGTGTAACAAAGTTCCACCTGTCGCAACGGTCGTGCCGTCTGATGCGAGCTCAATACTATTGATGTCTAGAATCGTGCTGACCCGAGGTTCCTCAAGCACCTGGCCTAATCTATCGTAATCGCCTTTGCGCACAAGTTCTTGGACTTGCTGGACTTTCTCCTGGACGAAAAGAGTCCTGGCAAGTTGTAGCTGCTGGAAGATCTCGGGGCTTCGGGCAACGTCTAGAGGTAATTTGCCTTGGTTGTTCGCAATTGCATCGTTGATGCCCTTCTGCTCTAGTAGATGATGCACAACAGGCCCTCGTCCTTGTGTAGCAGCAATATGCAAAGGTGTGTTGCCGTCTTTATCCCGAGCGTTCACGTCGATATACCCGGCACCATTAGATAGCACATACTCGACGACATCGAACTCGGCGCACTGAATAGCAAGATGGAGAACGGTTGTATCCTCAAGTGGGGTGGGATGCGCAGCGCTTACGGAGGCTATACTCGCGCGGGGGGCGTTCTCGGAGGTCTCTCGGATAGCCTTGGATATGGCAGCGGTATTGCCACTTCGCAGGGCCTCGACGATCCGAAACTTGCGGACAGAAGATTCAAGCGACGTAGTCTTTTCAGCGGAGGCGGGGAGGGTATTGGATCGGGACAGGGACGGTTGGGCCAGCGCACCCGGTTCCCGCGAGGGTATTCGACCGAGTGACATTCTCGAGTTTTGGCTCCTGGCGGATTGTTGTTGGGTTAGTGGAAGGGGTGCCGCAGAGGCAGCTGTAAGGGCTGGTGAGCCGAGGCCGGAAACATGGGACCCGTCGTCGGAGGTAGCGTCGTCCTCGTTGCGATTGTTATCTCGTTCCTTTCGTCGGAGCAAGCTGAGAGCATTCGACTTGGACCTCTGGGGCGGTTGGTGTTGGCTGCCAAGATACGAGTCAGTATGGCTAGAGCTAGGTAAGCACGAGATAACAACCTCATCATGACCTAACCCCATGTGACGCAGTAGAAGGTGACAAGTCTGGCTAACGCTAGCGGTCTAGATCTTGAAATGCGCAACATGGGCTATAAGCCTATTGGTAGGCGGCATGGGGTAAAGAAGACAAGGTTGTGTAACACAGCTGACAGCACTGAACGCCAAAGATAGCGACGAGCGGCCTAGACTATCAAGAAAACAGCACATACCTTTCTCCAGCGTCCGACATGTTGAGATCAAAGCCTCATGCAGATCAGTCGTTGGGTTTCGCGTGTCACGGGTCGATGTGGAAGTGCTGAGGTCCGGGTGTCGGTGATTA